ATTCAATTTATATTTAGAACAGATCATACAGGAGCCTGGACTCTATGAGGAGGAATGTGGCATCAGGATTGGAGGAAGACCTATCAACAACCTACATTATGCATATGAAACTGAGGACCTGAAGCACTTGTTGTAGAAGGTCAAGACTGTAGTCTTTAATATGGATTGAAGCTCAACATCAAAAAAACAAAGATTCTCACCAGGAGCCAATTAGCAGCACCATGATAAATGGAAAAGAGACTGAGGTTGTTAACATGTCAGCTTGCTCAACTCCACTATCAACACTCCTGGCACCAGTAGTCAGGAAATCAAAAGACAAATTGCATTGGGGAAGTCTGCTGCCAGAGATGTTTCCAAAGTGCTAAAGAGTAATGATGTCAGTCTAGAGTCTAAAGTACACCTGATTCAGGCCATGGTCTTCACAATTACTTCTATCCATCAGAGAGCTGGACAATGTCTAAGGATGACAGAAGGATCAATGCCTTTGAGTTGTGGTGCTGGAGAAGAGTATTAAACATACCATGGACTTCCAAGAGAATAAACAAGACTATTATGGAGAAGATGAAACCAAGTTTATCTTTGGAGGCAAGGATTTTGAAGCTCTGTCTCACATATTTGGAGCACATAGCCAGGATGTACTGGTCCTTAGAGAAGGGTATCCATCATGCTTGGAAAGGTGTAGGAAGCCATCCTGAGTACATGCAGCCGCCACCCCTGTCCATCTCTGGGACTATGCCTACCTCTTAAATCAGCACCTGTAAATCAATGCCCCTCCCTCTCTTTTGTAAACTGGTAACCTAGGGCTGGATTCCCTGGCAGCCTGGCCTACTCTGCTGCCTATTTATAGCAGAATTCATCGAATAAATGTAGGCTTGATCAGGAATCTTTGTCTTGCCCCAATCTCTCGTGTCCCTGCTCCTCTTTTTAATCCACACAGATTCCACTCTAGAACACGTGTGAACCCGCAGGTCGGTTTCAGCCAGCGGTTACAGAAAGGTGGAGGGACAGCACAGAGGAAGAAGACCCCAGATGAAATGGTTTGACACAGTAACTGGGGTAATGAGGGTAGGTATGTTAGAGTCAGTGAGATTGGCTCAGAATAAAGCAGTCTTCAGAGCTATTGTACATAGGTTTGCTATGAGTTGCAGGTAAATCATGGCACCTGACAACAACATATTAGGATGGCTCCAGACAATTTATGAGGCTGCATCACAATTAAGAGCCCAGGAGAGGTCCCAGGAGAGCAATTTGCACAGAACCAAGTGTATCATGGGCACTGAACCAGTCGGGTGGAGGATGCATCCAGGAAATGCTAATAGACTAGGTATGTTTTTATTACATTTCCCTCAATTTGTTATTTGCAATAGAGAAATAAAAATAAGCAGACCTAACACATACGAAGTTTTGATTGATACAGGCAGTGTCCAAGTTCCTAACCGTGTCTATAAGAATGTGTAGATAATGCAGAAACCTTGCTTTAGTGCAAGAAAAAGAAGTTCTGGAGGTGCTGTGGCTAAGGCATTTGGCTGCTACCTGTAAGGTCAAAGGTTTGAATCCACCACTCACTCCTCAGGAGACAGATGAGGCATAAAGGGTTAAAGCCCTGGAAACACAATGGGCACTTCTACTTTGTGCTTCAGGGTCACTATGCGTTGGAACCAACTCTATGGCATGGGTTTGGGTTTTGAGCAGGAAAAGCTCAAAACTTTTCCAATTATTTAAAAGCTCCACATGCAGGAAGAGAAGGTGATTGTGATGAAGAACAGGTAATGATGTAAAGACATAATCTGGGACGACCTGTATTAAAGAGCCCCACCACGATTCTCTCTTTGGCCTGTGAAAATATCTCGGTAGGCCCTGCCTGGGGGCTCTTCTGCTGGAGAGTAAACCGTTTCTGCCTTGCTCATTACAGGGTTCCTAGGACTAAAGATCTTTCTTGCACCTGATACAGTGAAAGATAAAATGCATCTGTTTTATGCAGAGAAGAATGTTGCCAGAATTTTTCTTGACTGTTCTGACACTCTTCTTGGACATACTTCCAAGGGATCATGATTCCACTATAATTATTGCCATGAGGCTAATTCTGAGCAGAACTCTGCTCCGTAGGCTTTGCAATGGCTGATTTTTCAGAGGTAGATCATCAGTGCTATCTCCTAAGGTACCTCTGGGTGGATTTGAACCTCCAATCCTTCTGCTTAGCAGCCAGATGTGTAACTGTTTACCCTTCCTCCCTCATTTTCCCGCCTATCTATACATTTTGAACTAAAAATCAGCACTGTAACCCTCTTCCTATAAATGGAGGCGAAGCCCTGAGCTTCTGGGGGACAGAGAGAGGTCTTCTAACAAGGACACTCTCTCCAGTCAGGCAGCTGGTTACTTCCGCAGGCATTTTTGTTTTAACTGATCCCTGGGATTACTAGGAAGCGGCTACATTTTTAATCTTTTCTCTTTCCAGACTGAAGGGGTCATCCAAGGGATTTCTATGTAGGCTTTGACAAATTCTCCTCCATCAACTAGTAACCAGAAATCCACAAGGAAATCCCTCTTGGAGAAAGAAAACAGGAAAGAAAAAATGAGAGGACACAGCCCACAGGATCTACAGACTTATGTTCAGATGATCTGTTCACTGTGTGTGGTTTGAACGAGGTATGTTAGGCTGGGTTAGTTTCCCATAGTCAGTGAAGCTCAGGGTTTAGGATGTTGGGGTCCATCACAGGGATGGTGTTTTCTATTGGAGATTGTAAGGATGTGCAGGGACACCCTATATTGCAGTCACCACTAGTCCGATTCGACCTAATGGCACCTAACTACAAGTGCTGTTTGCCTGCCTCCTCCTTCACAGGAGTTCTCTCTACCCAGGGATGAGGGGCTGAGTGGTGTAGGGACCCTCAGAAACACCTGCAAGGAAAAACCTTGGCTCTCAGTCAAACTCCGTGCTCTCAAAGATTGTTGCTGTTAGTTGCTGTCAAGTCAGCTTCCCATGAGTGTGAAGTACAACAGCTTCAGAGAGTTTCCAAGGCCGTGACCTCTCAGAAGCAGATTGCCAAGTTCGTCTTCTTAGGCTCCTCTGGGGGGTTCAAACTGCCAACTTTCTGACTAGCAATTGAGAGCTCAACTTGAGTGCCACCTAGAAACATTTTCTCAAAGAGTATGTTGTTTTTTGTTAGGTGCCATCAACTCAACTAAACAACAACTAAACTAAACAACAGATCTGAAGCTTGCCCAATCCTGCACCATCTTCGTGATCTCCGTCACGCTCCAGACAATTGTTACAGTCGCTGTATCAATCCATCTCACTGAGGGGCTTCCTTGCTTTCTCTGGCCCTCCACCTTTCCAACATGATGTCTTTTTCCAAGGACTGCCCCTACATACAACATGCTCAAAGTATGTGAGATGACGTGTCATTACCTTTGCCTATTAGGAACCTCTGGTTGCACTTCCTCCAAGACCAACTTGTTTGTTCATTTGGCAGTCCATGGGATATTTCAACACCACAAATCAACGACTAAAGAATATTAAAATCATTGGCCCTACAGGGGACAGGAAGCAAATGCTTTTTCGGGCCTGGCCTGGCCAAGGCATGGAGTTCTGGCACCTCCCCCTTTCCATCCAAGGCAGGAATGTCACACACGAGATGAAAGGAGGCAGGAAGCACAGCAGCCCTGGGGGAGGGGCACGTTGGGCAGGAGGAGGAGCAGCCCCACCCTCATCTCTGGTGCCTGAGAGCTTGACAGCTGGTGTGTGGGAGCCTCCGGTCTAATCATACCTGCTAGAGGTAGCACCTCCTCTTCCCACCCCAACTGCCACCCGGTCAGGGTCCTTCCTCCTCCACCTCAGGTCAGAAATCTGAACCCTTACACTCTGGTGGCCCCACCAAGGGTCCTTAATGGGCTTCAACACTTGAGATGGTGCTCCTTCAAGCTGGGCTCCCCGGACCCTTTCTGAAGGCTTGATCCGGCTTTCCTGGCCTTGTGCCAGAGCAGGGGAAGGATGCCATCCCAGTTCTATAATCTGGCCTGATTTTCTCCTGCTTGGCAAGTGTCAGAGCTAGGAAATCTAATGCGAGGCTTTGAGGCCTTTTAACATGCAAAGGCCTCTGGGATCAATTAAATTCCTAATCCCCTTCAAGTCATACAAAAGGGAGGCCTGACAGCTGGCATTTTCTGAGGGGACCCATGAACTGATGTGTACCAGGAGCTTTACATACATTATCTCGTTTAATCCTTACAGCAGATCCCTACATAAGAGATTGTTGCCCCCATTTTACAAGTAGACAAACAGAGGCACAGAAGGGCACCTCAGGGCTCTGACCCAGAACACTGGGCTCCTAAGAGCAAAGCCGGCCAGCCTAGGTCAGTGTTGGACAGGCTCAGCTGATGAATAGGTTACCGGGCCTCAGTTTCTCCACATGCACCCGAGGGGAACTGGTCCAGGAAATTCATGATTTCTGCTATTCTCATACTTCTCCCTGCCTGCTCAGAACAGAGGGGGGTTTGTGTTAGTCCTCACCATCATACATCTCCAGCCACTGACCACACTCCAGCTTCCTGACCCCCAAGCAGCTTTGGGGAAGCCTCAAGGAGGTCTTCTGGTGGATTAAATGATCATTATTGCTTGGAAAGCAGATGCCCCAGAAAAACACAAAATTCCAGACTCTCCCAGCCTGCTTTTAAGTTAGTAGTTCCTTAATTTGGTGGTGGTTGTTGTTTGTTTGTTTGTTTGTTTGTTTAAGGAAAAGCAAATTGGCAGCAGCAGGGTGGGTCTTTATTCTGAATGTAAACAGTTTAGTCACCAATTACTTCTCTGTAGTCAACAGCCCTCCTCCCCCACTCACTTCCTGTCACGGTTTTTCTCCTTGGAAATATCACTCTAGAAATGAGTTGGGGAGTTGAGCCTATTTGTATTGACTGTGAGTGGGGAAAATGACACCAGCTAGAAAAGGCTGTGCCAGGGAGAACCACACAGCCAGTGCAGCACCCACCGACCCCCACACTCCTACCTCCAAAGGCAGGTCGCATGCTGAAATCATGGTCGTCCACTCTGAGAAGCGGCTGCGGTTTCCCTTTTCGTATTTTGGTTATGTCAAGGTTCTTCTTATATAAGTGACTGCAAAGATAAGCAACATAAGCCAGAAATGTTTTCCACGGGGCCCCGAAGTAACTGAGTTATTGGAGGATCTGTTAGGCACCTTTCTTCAACTTTTCCTCTTTCTTTTAGCTGCCCAGAGGTTGAGAACTGGACACCTTTGCCCAAATCCCAGACAGACCAGAAGACCAAGAAAGCCTTCTGGAATTTTCTTAAACCAGATGTTCTCCCAGTAAGGATATTCTTTCTTGGGCAAGTTAATAAATGTCTTTCCAAAAGTTATGATTGGATAGGATGATTGAGTTGAACAGCTTAAGATTAGGACTTCTTCCTTTTTAAAATATTTCTCTTGTATTAACTATGATAATGATTTTGTAATAAATAAAATTATGAAACAAATATAGCTAACGTTTTAGGTTTTTTGGTTTTGCTAGGTAACCCTGATGTCCCTTAGGTCATCCAGATGGCAGCTACCTGCAGAAGCCACCCTGGTGAAGAATCAAACCCCTAGGAGAATCAGAAAACCCACGGCCTTCGGGAGTCAGAGCAGCCCCACACCCCTTTAAATCCCACCAGCCCCGGAGTGGGGAGCAGATTTGTTCCAATTACCCAGCTTGGCGGAGGAAGCAAGGCCTTCAGTTTCTTTTCCCCTTTCAGTTTCTTTTCTCTAAACCCAATGACATAGGAAGAATTTTTGTTCTCTCACATGAATGATTTTTCTCCCCACCACAACAGCATATAATTTTATTTCCCAGAAAGCCTTCAAGTCCAAAGTATTCTAAAGCAGTTTCTTACTGGAAGTGTTATAATTAAATACCAATTAAAATGACAAGGAAAGAAGAAAAGAGAAAATTCATGCAGCCAAATTCATCTATACACAGTATCCATTCTTTTTTTTTACAGAATATTTTTTGGTGTAAATTTCCTTTTGTTGTTCTTATTTTGTAATAAATTATAGTGAAAAAATAAGATTTTTTAATTTCCATTCATTCATTGTTGCACATTTCTCCCCTCCCAAACCTCCCCCCTAGTACACTATCTTCTTGGAAAAGTAAAAGACAAATTCTTTCATTGTTTTACAAACCCTCCCCAAGGTCCACTCCACCATGGAGCCATCGCTCTAGACTCCTGTGATGACAGAAATACCTAGTCACATATCTCTTTTAAACAGTTTTCTCCCTCATTTGTTTCAGTGCAGTATACATTATTGAACCCATCTTTCTCAGTCTCTCCCCAACCCCAAGATCAGTCCTGTTTTACAACAGTGGCACTATGCAGTATTTAGCCTTTTGTGACTGTGATACTTCACTCAACATAATGTCCTCCAGGGTTGCTGATTTTGAATAATATTGCAAGAGTTCCTTGTTTTTCAATGCAGCATAGTATTCCATTGTGTGAATATACCACAGCTTCTCTATTCATTCATTTGTTGATGGGCACTTAGGTTGTTTTCAACTCCTTACTATTGTGAACAAAGCTGCGATAAACATGGGTGTGCATATATCTACTTGGGTGTCAGTTATGATCTCTTTGGGGTATAGTCTCTGTAGTGGAATTGCTGGGTCAAATGGTATCTCTATTTGCAACTTTTTGAGAAAGCGCCATACCACCTTCCACAGTGGTTGCACCATTTTAC